CATACCCGGGACAAGTACGGCTACATGACGTTGACCCCCAGAACATTCCCATGCTCACAACAGGATCTCTCTTAATGGTAGGGTGGTAGAACCCTGAATGTACCTTTCAAATAAATGTATTTAGACTTATTAGCTTTTATTTCTAAGCCTATCTATCTGTTAGCGTGTTTGTGGTTGCGATGTGCATCTCATCGTACCGTCGAGTGCCTACTCAAAGACTGAGTGCACTCACTTTGTTCAATTCTTTATGTCTTTCTTAGAACATGTCGTAATGAGAATATATTTATCACATGTTTAATCTAAAATCTAAATTATTAAACAGTTCAAATTAAAGTGAATTAGCTTATATATTTTCAACTTCATATAATTATGACACTTTTAAGAATTATATGCTTCAAATATATTTAGATTGATGGAAATCTTTGTATTTACTTTTTACTGCTATACACGTGGTTCTTATAAGTAATTCTCTTTGTCTCAAATGAATTTAAAATCAATTATAATAGATAAGAAATCTCATTTAAAGTAATCCAATAAGACTATATCAGTGTTGCCACTATTTAAAACAACACTCCCTAATAGATATTTATTATCGTTATCTTTAGAATAGTTTATTCTACCCATAAAAGAGGTGAGTAATTTTTGTTTACATTAACTTAGCTTATACTTAAAGGGTATCCGTTCCTCATAAGAAGACTGAAACCTTTGAAATGCGTTTGTAGTACACTCGTTATTAAATAATGTACATATAATATACTATGTTATGTAACACACGATAAAACAACACCTACGAGTACATACATGTGACCTATGTTACTATCGCTATTTACGTGAACTCAAAACAAAAAAACTACTCAAGAACGATTTTAAAGTATTAAAAGACATTAAAAATATAATCATAATTGTCTTCACACGCACCCGTATCTCATAAGCGTGGTATTATGTCATCAGTAAACGAAATAAGCGGATAACTTTGAACTTACGTACCAAAGTTTGAATCGTGTTATGGTGACCCTATTTAACCTCAAATCGGGGTCTTAGATGTATAAAACAAGAATTGTTACCGGCCGTGAAAGATTACTCTTAGCTATCACAATTTCTCCTATTGTTGGTACATCCATTAATTTTTTTCTTTGCACAACAGCACCGGTTTACTTGCCCTCATACAAAAGGTGAATGAAAAGGTGGCTTTTTTAAATATTCACAAGACGGGTACAGCCAAATAGAGGTGAAATTAAAGTACAGGTCGGGGTAATTGATGGTCGGACGGTATAACTTTGTCTAGCGATTAGTTTTTTATGATCTTTTATCACTTAACACGCACTTAATAGGGAAGAAAAGACCTTTATCTATAAGTAGATACAGTGACAGTTGTCATAGGGTGGAAAAAAATCGGTAAGTGATTTGAACTATTAAATTAAAGTCAATATTATTTGTTAAAGTTTACTTTTTTTTCTATTAGATAGGTACTGATTTTAATATTTGATTGAACTCTGATAACTTTGATAGGAATAGTTGAATATGTTCTGTTTACCCATCACGTTTTCACTTTTACCGGTTATTTTATATTTGGAGTATATATAATGCCAAAAAATTAAAAGTCTAAAAGGTTCATCAGTACCTTAAAAAAAAGTTTAAATCTCTCATGGTCAAATTAAAAAAAAGCGGACGCAGGTGACAGGTACTTGATTATTACGATAAGTTATTAATATTTTAATTTAATTTAATTATTAAATAATAATACGCATGATCGGATTAACAATAATATTACAAAAGTAATTATCATAAATATAGAAGCTACGCAATTCTGGCTTTTGTTCCAATTAAGTCTATTAGTGGAAAAAAGAAGATTTTAATTTAATTCAGTATTATAACTTTCTCTGAAAGTTTTAATAGTGATTTTGTTCGAGTTTACAGAGTTGAATCTGGCGCGAAATTTTTTTTATCAGTTTGATTTGATGTTTTTTTATATATATATTGAAAATAATTACAATGCAATGTCTAAAAAAAGGACATTACATTAATTGATTGTCTATGGTCGAATACGAAAATAAACATTAATATTGAAAAGATAATAATTGTACGATAAAACTATCAACGAGAATTAAACAAAATGGCTTCCATTTAACAACAAATCATAAAATAAATAGATTGTACCCTTTTTGGATAATAATTAGAATCATTCGGCTGTCAATAAAGAATCAATTGATTGGACATTGTTGCTATATTGTACTTTAAAGAACTTTTTTATCTGTGTTCATTTTTAAGTACGATTTATTAATCAATTAAAAATGTGTAAGAATTCGTTTCTTATTTCATCTCATAAGAAAAATTCAAATCTCATTGACTCGTACCTCCTTTAAAGGTCAACCGATTGTATTCTCAAAGATTTGGTCCTTGGAGAAGGTTAAAGAGACATTTTTTCTTGTTTTAAATCGGTTCTGAATTTAGTTTGAAGTCTCATCCTTTATTTATTTAAAAATTTAACAAAATTAATTTAGTAACGTAATCTTGGTTGTATAATAAATTATAAAAGTAATAAAAAATTCTTATAGTAAATTTACATCAATCGAACAAGATGTTTTTTTTTTCTTTTAAATTATGGTTCTTCCTGTGATCCCGGCATGTTTCGCGCCATATGGCAGGCTGGGAAGTATTTACTCATTACTAGACTATAAAATTTGCTATTTTATACTGAACATACAGATAATAAAAAAAACTCTGTAACAATAGACTTGTCACATATTATTTGTCAATATTACAATCGCCTCAAGGGTTAAGACTTAAGATATAATATTTTTTCATACTATAATATTCTAATCTATGTCCAATGCTATATAAAAAACTCTCATGAACTAAAATCGTCTAAATAATTATTAAATTTAAATATACTTAAGATATAGATCAACTTTTATTCATATTATAATAAGTAAAGTTAATAATAATAAATGTTAAAATATCATCAATTTTTACATTATTAAATTTATATTCTTTTAATACGAGCTGGTTAAAATACGTTTTTGCTACATAATCATTCAGCCATCATTTAGCCTATGACACGACCAGACACAAAAAAAAACAATCCAATGTCTATTAAATATGCGGCGACGCGCTCGCAAAGGTCGAGAACCTCGATGACAATGGGATGAGATGATTCCATGCTTTAATTGCAATTTTAAATCTTTTGCATGCGCCATTATGGAATTCTCGGTCGTCATTAATATAAAATCAATATGGCTCATAGATATCATACTCGTAACGTACACAAAGAAACATATTTAATAATCCACGCTCTTACGTATTCATTTCATTAATTTAATTTCATATCATTCTATACCAGAGACAAATGCTTCGAATTACGCTAGTTATATTAGGGTATTGACTGCGAAAACTGTTGCCCTTGAAATGAAAAAAAAAAAACAAATAGCGACGACCTCGACACACATGTGGCGTTCGCGATTAGAAATACTGCTTCACTATTCATAGTGACAGGTTAGATTAGGGCACGTATTATAATGTAGTACGGCGTACGCGTCTTTTGAATATATTATTATATTAAATAGAACTAGAAACACCGGCTAGTTAGATTCGGGATGACGTCACAATCAGCGGGCCCTCGTCTTACGTCAGGTAGTGCAGCGAGTCGGACGAGACGACGTCGACCCACAAATCTACAGACACAATAAATTCGACAACGTACGGTGAGAAGCCGACCGGGTCGATGAACTGTTGACGTATTTAAAATACGCATTAAGTGCCTTATCGCGAATGTAGTACGCGGCGCGGCTGGCGGTCTTATGCTATGTATATTTTTGCAAAATGGATATTTATAGATGTCCGTGACGGATGATTCCAAATATTTCTTAGCTCCTGATGGATATTGGTAAGCGTGAGCTTGTTTTATAGACTTGTGTGTTTGACATTCATTCAAATATATAGTTTTTAAATTGATCGTTTTGAATTAGAAAAAACTAAAGAACATTTGTTGTTTGAAGATTCTATATAATATTCTTTTTGGTTGTGTATCTACAAATTTAATACTAGCATCTATACTACGACCGTTAACAAAAATATTAAAAGTAAAAACTGTCAAATCTCTATAATAGGGATGGGCACCTACGAGTTCTCAAAAGAGTTTTGTGTCATACAGACATAGTTATGCATTTATAGAATAACATAATGCGTCGTACTTATTCATCAGATATGAATAAAACAGACGTGTGAGGTGAAACCTTTCTCAAGAAGACTGAACCCACCGGAAACTCGGCGAGAGTTCGTCTTACAGCTTGTATTTTAACGCTATTGATATCAAGAAAATGTGAGAAAGGAAGTGTGTCTGTCGTGCCGCTACACCATACATACTACACGCGATTTCTTTATGTCGTGAGTCTGTGTAGGCCCTGAGCGATTCTCGACGCGACATAGGCCTCGTGTAAGATTCATATTCGCAGTGAAAGGCCTCTTTAGAAGTCTGTTCGCACAAAGCGAGGCTCCCGCAGTAGCCGCTCTATCTTAGTATCTACCCACATATGCATTATGCGGCGGATACAGATCCAACTTACTTACACATACACGCGAAATATGAAGGCCAGTTTTGTGTATGTGTCGCGACTACATACGGCTTCAATAATCAGCAGGTGAAGCGAACTAAAGCAAGGGGGTTATTGCGATTAACTCTTTTATCCCTTCGTTTCCATATCAAAGAGTAATGAACCTTGTTCCACTATTGGCCGTTGTCGATTAGTAACCATGTGATCTTTTAAAATCGTGTTGTGCAAACTTGTAGCGGAATTCGAACGAATTAAAACTTACGATGCTCAAATAAATGTACGATTTTCTTATTTGAATTAATAATAAAAATATATTTTATTTCATTATACTTCCGTATCTATAGGAATCTTACTAGATAAGATAATTTATTAGGATTCTATAACAATAAGGTCACGCGAACTCTCGAACGAGGCCAACATGTAATTATTGAGATTCGCAAATCGAATGACCGGCCGGTGACAAGTATGAACAGTCTCTTTAGCTGGGTATCCGTAACAAAGACAAAATTCTTATAGTGAATCGATGACGACGTAGAGTGTACAGTGTACGCGGTACAGTAACGAAGGTCAGAGTGTTTGTTCGTGTGAGTGTGTATGCAAGTATGCAGGCTGGCTCGGTGCGGCGTCGCCGCTGCTGCACGCTTGCACCGCCGGTTGCAACACCCTCCCCCCTTCGCTCTCGGCTTCTCACTCGCCGCCGTCTTGCCGCTAGCCTGTCTCACCTCGCGGCCGGCAGCCTTGCGCGACGCGCCGCGCTCTTTCACATTCAAAATTATTCGCAATCATTGCAAAAACTCTCTGTGCAATAAAAATATCTCATCGGTCGCTGCGGTCGCGTTGATTCTGAAAACAGAGAGATTTTTAAAAAACTCTTTTTTACAAATCGTTTACATTTTTTAAAAGTTTGAATGCACTCCTCGTTGCATGTCCCGCGCGCGTCGTTATGAGAACCCCGTACTGGCGGTCACGTTGACGTCGCGCGGTGCCGCCATATCTGTCTCGGCCACCAACTAGCAAAATTAATAGGTAATTATTTTCGTGTACAGTGTTCCAGGTCAGATTTATTGTAAAGTGATTGTGTGTTATAGTGTTTTTTATCTTCTGGCATCGTATGTGCTCGTTCCAATTGGATTCTTCTTGGAAATTCAGGCGCGCGCCGGCCGGTTCTTATCTAGTGCAATGCAGTTGCACTCTCAACTTATTGCAGTTTTGCATTTGCCAAAGTTTTATGCGCGGAAAGTTACTAGTGTTTGTATTTTGATACAGGAGGACTTTAAAAGTGTTTTTAAAGTGTTTACTCGTTAAAAGTGTTGTGTGTTTTAATTTTTAAAGAACATTGGAATATACTCTGTGTTATTTCGGTCATTGACCGCCGGATTTCGCATATCCTTTATGTTATATGTAGCTGTAAACTTTTTTGTTATAACTTCGATTTTAATTTTTAGGCTCAAAATAATAATTTCACATCACTAGAAGAATGCGATGACCCGCGCATTCGCTTTTTGAAATTCGCTTTACCCGGATGGAATGAGGAGTGCACAATCCTATTGTTTTACAGTTTCTTATGTTTGAACATCATTTGTTTTTTTGTTTTTCGGACAATTAGAGAGTTGTCATTTTCTTCCAAAATTACAAAAAATTGTAAAATAAGGTAATTATAGTTGTTCCATCTTAATATTTAGTTATATTAATCGAGTAAGATAACATTTTAAGCGAGAGATAATATTTAGCATTGTTTCGTATTCGTTGCTCTCTGATATGCAAATGACATCATCTGTAGTCAAGCTCGCGAGGGCTCGCTCCGAGAGTAGGCTGGTCATTATGGAGTTAGTCTGAGAGTATTGCAAGTGAAGTCGGGACGTTTGTGTATGAGTGCAGTGCGTGTACAAAATATTAATAATTGTGCAGAATGGCGGAAGGTAATGGAGAAATATCCATTGAAGAGGTCCCTGGGAAGGACTCCGACGCTGGCCGGACACCAGATTACATCAAACTCATAGACTATGGCTTGGACCCAAAGGTAACAATCATCTACTAATATATTACATTACTCTAATGTATACATATTAACTAGCAATAAGTTGTTTAAAAATTTTGGTCGGCCACATGAAAAATTTTATCAAATTTAGAAATTTTATGTTTTCCATTCAAAATATAATACCATAAAGGCTTTATAGTTTATTCATTAATGTATATGTTATTACATTTAATTCATTTAAAAAAATGCTGTTATAAATATGCATTCAACATTTAAATTTAAATCTTTGCTCGGTCTCGGATCTGAACAACTAGCAGTCTGCTTACCGTTTATTTATATTAGTAATAAATTTAATTCCAAGTATGTATAAATGTATTACATACTTTTTAATTAAATACCTACCATAATATATTAAAAAGAAATTTAAAAAAATAATCTTTGAAATTCTTATAAGAATCTTTTTTGTTAAGCGTTTGGTTAAAACATGATTCCAATTGGATTTTTTAAATATTGTTTTTTTTACATGTCTTTCAATTTTGTTTATTGAAAGAAATCTATAGTATAATCAATATATACATATAATATATACAACATTCCTAGAACTTCTTTGAATTGGCTTTCTAAGAATTGCTGTACTTGTGGTTTATAATGATCAACGGTGACACATTATTAATATTTGCCTTGAATCTCATACCTGTCTCATTGTTTTGACCTACCTGATTGCGCTATCTTAACTTTCTCCACCCAATTGACCCTTGATACTATTATCATGGAGAGAAATGACAATAAAAATATGTTGCTGTTGCCAAAACAAACTATTTTGTATATTTACATACTGTTTTAATGTACTATATTTACTTATACACATAAATGTATATATGTGTATATGTGTATATGTGAAGATCATTCCACATTTATAACATTAGTCATCCCTTTACAATTGCCAAGCTTCTTGTCTCTATGCCATTGGTAATAGAGACTATATTGCTATAATTTGTCACAATTTTATTATTTAAATTAAATCACAAACATTACTCCTGGTAAGGACTAAGATTCATGCCACTAAATCTTAAAACCGGTTTGCCTTCACTTAGGCCAGTTTCCTGTTATATTGGAAATTATGCCCAATGATGCTGTACATTGAGTGATAATTATACATTTTACTTTTGATAGAGAAAAGTCATTTTCAAATCTTAAATGGTGCATTAGCAAGACTATCACTTGAATGTAATTACGACTTGGATCGCGCCACCTATAGCATAAGATTCTCGAAAGCTTTCAATTATACAAAGCCGATTTAAACCTTTTGTTTATACATATCTCGTATATAAAAGATTCCGTCTAAATATTATTGTCCAAATATGATAACCAACTTTATTTCACTGTTTTGCTTTGCGATATATCGTGTGACCATAAGGATCAGCGACTCAGTCGTTTTCAATGTTTTCCAGGTGGCGACCAAGCTCGACGACATTTATAAGACTGGAAAGCTAGCGCACGAGGAGTTAGACGAGCGTGCGTTAGATGCCTTAAAAGAATTTCCATCCGACGGTGCTTTAAGTGTTCTTGGACAATTTTTAGATTCAAATCTCGAGCATGTATCCAATAAGAGTGCTTATTTATGTGGAGTCATGAAGACGTACAGGTGAGTGTGTGTGACTGTAACTTAACAACCCTCCGCGGTCCTTGGACGCCGGCCAGCCCGCGGAGCCGTATGTGGGTCGTGGTAAAAATTGATTTGTCACTTATCGCCGTTGCGGGCTGCAGTTTGAATTGACGAGATGAGACGAGTGCTGCCATCTAGTTGGCACGCACGGGACCCGGCCGACTGTGGGGTGGGGTGGACTTGACGTATCGCTAATATCGCAATATTTCGCGTGTAGTTGATAAAAGATAACGCGGTCGTTATCCTTTGAGATTCTTGACGAGTTTGTTCACTCTTGGGACCAGGCTACACTAGCGAGCCGGGGAAATGTAACAGAAAAGATTCTCAAGACATATTAGTAATTGATTAATTATGCAATTTAAAGTAACTTTGAGCATGATTATCGTTTGAACTTGTATATGCCAATCCATATTCTTAGTATTTTACAAAACTCAAAATCTGTAGGTGTCTCCAACAGAGCATTAAAAAAAACCTCATCGAAATATCTAACCAAAATACTCAAAAACTTTACATAACAATAAGGTACAAATGATTACATGAAATGATTAATATTCCAGACAGAAAAGCCGTGCGGGCGTGCAGGGCGCGCCGGCGCTGGCCGCGGCTGTGCAGGTGAAGGGGCCCGATGAAGAAAAGATCAGGCAGATCCTGCAGAGGACCGGGTACACGCTGGACGTTACCACCGGTATGACGACACATATATATTAAAAAACCATGGCGCATGTTTGCCCAGCTATGGCCAATGTTGACCAATGTTGACCAATTTATATGGCCAATCTTGACCAATTCATCTAAGATGTTATATTGGTGCACCATGATAGTGGCCCAAGTGTGACATACATGGAACAATTTTATTGAATCAGATTCATATTAGTAATGTTAGCTTTACAGTGGTGGAAGCTTAAGCTTTGACATAATGTTTGCTGCAGTGATTATTCCAAAGAAAGGTAGAAGTCTCTGTATTTGAATCACATGTACATTATCTATTATAGTAACATGATACAATGCAGTAGGTTAAGTATTTTATCTGTATTTATCACTAAGGAAAATAATCTGATTAAAATTGCACTAAATACAAAAGTTCACACATATCATGTAACTAAATTTTTGGTTTGATTTGTCTTAAAAGATTCCAATATGAAAAAAATACAATTATATAATATTCTTTTCCTGCATGATTGCATTATTTTTGTTGATGACTAGTTTCTTTGGCAAATATTATTTACAAATGTACATTTCTTCCAGTTCATTTTTAAGTTATGAATTCACAAAATATCTTAAAAATTTGTGCAGCAGCATATTTAGGAAACAGAAAAAGAAGTAGCTTTAGTGAGAAAAGTTTATTAAGACATCTCACACCTCACATTACTACTGCTTTAAGTTTTGTAAACATTCAAATAACATTAGTATTTAGTATTTACTTATTTATTTATTTTGGAAATACTTGGCATATTCACAAACCATATGTGGAAAAAAATATAAAAAAGAAAACTTGTTCAGTGTGATACACCATTACAGGTATTTACATTTTACTACTTACATGTTAACAAGGGAAACTAAACACTACACTCAAACATTTAAAAGAATCTGTAGGAAAAAATTAAAAAAAAGTGAAGATTATCTATATGTAAAGAAAATTCGTTGCCGAATCTTATTTATCTATATTTTGTCGCCGAGACTGTATCGCCATTTATTTATTTATTATCTGTGTTAATTATTGGAAAGATACGCTGGAAGAGATTTTGTGCTATCATATATTAGAAATACAGTGTAAACTCCATATAACGACACTCGATTTAACGACAAACTCTCTAAAGCGTCGAAATCATTTGACTTTGGTTGGTTTAGCTTGTCTACCATACAATGGTACACTCTATATAGCGTCACAGCCACTCTCAATAACGACAAAATTAAGTAATAAAAAGTACCCTTTAAGTTGCTAAAATTAGTAAAAAATGCGCAGCTGTGTACGTTTTTTTGTCGCTTTGTTATCCTAGCCCGCAATAAACTCCACTGTCGTAATCATGCATACCAAACTTTCTAAGAAATTCGTTCTTCACCAATATGCCTCAATATCGCAAGATATGAATAAAATACGTAAAAAATACAACAACATTACTGGTGCAGCAAAACACGACAAACAAAAACAACAGACTTTATAACATTCTTTTTTATGTACATAAGTACTAACAATAGTCTGAAACAAACTTTGTCTTTTTCTAATTCTGATTTTTCTTCCCTCTATTTAACGGCAACTCTCTATAACGCACTAAAATGCACGGTCCCTTCAGTGTCGTTATATAGAGTTTACACTGTATTAACAATTGTGAAATATAAAACTTTGTGTCTTTTCTTTGTTTACAGGTGTGTGTTTGTTTAATAAATATAAATTGGGGTTAATTGATTATTATAAGTTTTGCGTGTATAAGCTTAATAATAATAAAAATCTTTGTTTACAGAGCAATACATTCTTTTATTTCACAATCGAAGATTGTATGAGCTTATAAAACGACATAAAGTTTTATATTTCACAATTGTTAATATTTCTAATATATGATAGCACAAAATCTCTTCCAGCGTATCTTTCCAATAATTAACACAGATAATAAATAAATAAATGGCGATACAGTCTCGGCGACAAAATATAAATAAGATTCGGCAACGAATTTTCTTTACAGATATACATATGTATGTATAATTTATAATTTAGGGAAAAGCACTAAATGTTTAATATGTTCATCAGATGTAACAATTGTTCAGTTGTAATACAATATCTGTATGTCGTATGTGCAGGCCAGCGCAAGTACGGCGGCCCGCCCCCCGGCTGGGAGGGCGGCACGCCGGGCGCCGGCTGCGAGGTGTTCTGCGGGAAGATACCCAAGGACATGTACGAGGACGAGCTCATACCGCTGTTCGAGAGCTGCGGCACCATCTGGGACCTGCGGCTCATGATGGACCCCATGTCGGGCGCCAACAGGGGGTACGCCTTCGTCACCTTCACCACGCGCGAGGCCACGCAGCGGGCCGTGCAAGAGGTTGGTCACTGACGCGCGCTCACACACACACGCAGACACACACAGACACACACACACACTGACACGAGCTCCGACTGGGGCGGGATTACTATGAACAAGGATACAGTAGTAATCCCGGCCGACCGGAGACATATTGAAATGTCATTTGAAATCGGTGTTGTTGGTAGGAAGTGGTAAACGGAACTTGAAATAAAATGACGCCTCGAGCTAACAGTAAGACAGGCCGGTGTGTTACCACTTCCTATGTTCCCTATTGGACTCAATCGCGAGGTTGGTGGTGTGGACGCGTCCTCGTGTGTAACAGCTTTGTACCGCCGACTTGTTAACTCGCTACGTGTTTATTTCGCTCAGCTTCTCAGTGTCGTAACGATCGCTTCTCATACTTTGGGCCAAATCATAAACTTCACTAGATCTATTAACATCCGTCTCAGAGCCTCCAACTAAACGTTTGTCATTTGTGATCTAACTTCTCTAATATCCACGGAACATTAGTTAAACGTAAAATGAATACAATTTGGCTTGAAATTGCATATCAATAGTTGATGAAGCTTGCCTGGAGTCTCCCTCCGTGTGAGTCTCGTACAGTTTATATCGGAGACAACAATAGCCGCCACCAACCTTCGCGACTCGTATGGATGTTAGCACTTCTGTATCCGGAGCGCCCTCGCACGGTGTTATCAATGAACTAAAAGTACTATTGGGAACACTAAATTACATGATTATATTGATTGGTGATAAATGAAACATGACCTAAATTCTAATTTGACATCTACTTTGCAGGTAACTCGCCGAATGTTTAAGTGTAATTAATCCCTTGAAAAGTAACCGTGACGGCACATAGCTGACTGCGGTTTGGGGACTTGCTCCTTGTACATTATCCTTGAGTGAAATCATTGACATCCGAAGTCATCGCTTTAGGCAGCATGCTATCGCAATGATTTTGCAGTTCAAGTCAAGCCATGTTTGCTCCATGTATGTTTTGTGTGGCATCAGTCAGTAGCGTCGCCGGCCCACTCGTATCACTGGTTGATGATTTCACTCACCAACCGAAGTCTCCAAACTGTAGCGCTCCTTGCAGCACTACGGCCCGGCCTCCGGCGGTAGTGCTGCAAGACGCGATCATTGCCAGTTTAATATACATAATGTATTCAGTTACATTTGGGAGATTTAGACTTAAGCTTATTTTTTTCATTTAAAAGCATGTCATTAATATCCCCATCGACTTGGGCCCTAGATATCGCGAGTGTAATGTTTCTGTTGGCCAGCTGTCGGTCTGGTCGTGTAGTGTAGTAGTGTCTGTGTGTGTACATGTATATCTGCGGCCCGAGTCCCCACTGTAATCACCAGTTGTGTAAATGTGCAATGTAACACCCGTAATCTGATCTAAGCCTCGCTTGTCCTGAGATATCACCCCGTTCTTACTATGCACCTCGTGTAATGTTAAGTTGCTTTGATTATTATTTCGTTTCCAAGTCACTGTACTCGCTTGTTTTATTTCACTTCATCGACCGGTCCACTTACAGGGTTAACTTTCAATTGGCTTCCAAAGTTGTCGAGCTGACAATGTTAATATATCTCAGGCTCTCCTCTTTGCTCCGTAAGAACACTCTCGGCTTATCATCAACAGTTAACTCATCACGATTGGCTCTAACAACATGTCGCGCGCGCCGGACTCGTCCGCGAACAACGCTCGGCCCGACCGATTCCAAATTGATGCCCATTTTTCAAAATTGTTCCCTTGTTATTTTTCCCACAGCTCGATAATCACGAAATAAAACCGGGGAAGACTCTGAGAATTAAGATTAGCGTACCGAACCTTCGACTTTTCGTCGGCAACATTCCCAAGTCTAAAGGCAAAGAGGAGATACTGGAAGAGTTTGGTAAATTAACAGGTAAAGTTTGAACCGAATGAATTAAACTGTTGATAGTTGTTGGGTTTTGACTGCGTGGGGCTTGGTGTGGACCGCTGAGGGTGCCCCGCTTGCGTCCCGCTTGTCCCGCGGTCCCGGCCGGCCGCGCCCGCCCCGCCCGGCCGGCCCGGGCCGCGTCCCCCTCCCTCCCCCTCCCGCGCCCCGCCGTCCCGCGTCCCGCCGTCCCGCTCTCCAGTCATGGGCCGGGCGGCGAGCCGCCGCCCCGCCCCGGGCCACTGGCTATTCTCCCTCGAATTGTTCTTGCAGCTGAATGATTATGAAATTCGAAAGGGGAAAAAGATTGGCGTTACGGTTTCCTTTAACAATCATCGTTTATTCGTGGGAAATATCCCAAAGAATCGAGATCGGGACGATTTGTTTGAGGAGCTTACTAGGCACGCACGTAAGTCCTTGTCGAATTCATAATAAGTGATATTCAGTGACGGGGCGGCGCGGCGCGAGCGGTGGCCGTCCCCGGCTCGCCCGCGCCCCGTCCGCGCCCGCCCGCGCCCCGCCCGCGCCCCGCCGACCCGCCGTAGTCGCTAACATGACATTGGCCTCCGCCTCGAGAATGCTCACTGGTAATGACTGGAGAATCTCGCTGTTGTTCTCTAGACTTCTTCAGTACCGTATATGTTCTCCTGGAATCTCGTTTGATTTGCTTCATATTTTGTAGCGTTGAAATTGAATTTAAGCGAGGGTTGGAGGGAGCTTTGTATTATGAATTCCGAGCTTTTAGGCCACTAGCGGGCTTTTCATCGGACTTGTATGATTGCAGCCGGACTCGTTGAAGTCATTATATATAGTTCGCCCGATGACAAGAAGAAAAATAGAGGATTTTGTTTTTTGGAATACGAGTCTCACAAAGCCGCGTCATTAGCCAAGCGCCGGCTGGGCACCGGGAGGATTAAAGTGAGTTACAAACATACATAAATATGTATATACATTTCGTTAGGCCGGGTGAGGTCATTAACCCACGATGTTTGTGTAGGTTTGGGGCTGTGATATTATAGTGGACTGGGCGGACCCGCAGGAGGAACCAGACGAGCAGACCATGAGCAAAGTTAGTAAACACTTGACACTCGATGACATGTATGACACACTGACACACACACACACTAACATTGACCGTGTTACAGGTGAAGGTGTTGTACGTACGGAACCTGACACAAGAAATTACAGAAGAAGCGCTTAAAGAAGAATTTGAACGTTATGGGAATGTAGAACGAGTTAAGAAAATTAAGGATTACGCTTTCGTACACTTCGAGGACCGGGACTGTGCTGTTAAGGTGAGCTTGGGGACGTCACTTGGTACTTGTATAATATTGTCGGATAAATGATTAAAAGTAGAAGATATATGGTTAAAGATGTTTATTCTCATAAGAACATACATAGGTTCACTTACATGAGATTAAATAATGTTACACACACATTAATATTTGATACATGGAATGGCTAGTACTACTTAATATTGTCTAATATATACATATATTTTAAGTTTATTTTCTGAAAGCATTTAAACATTTACATTCCTTTAAATAGTTTGGCAAATCATTACATAGAATAGAATATCAATATAAATAATTTTGCCAAAATCATAGGTATTTGATATTCTGCAGATTATTTAAAGCTATTTTTATTTTATCCCTGAGACTTTTAATTAAAATTTTAAACTTAATACAAGTTGTCTATATAGATTCCATCAACTTGTACACTAGCTGGATTTGTGCTCATAGTTTAAATGTCGAGGTGTCCCTCAAGGCACATTGTTTGGTCCAAACATTATCGTTTCGTTGTGAATGCAGGCGATGCAGGAGATAGACGGCAAGGAGCTGGGAGGAGCGCGCCTCGAGGTGTCGCTGGCTAAACCTCCCTCCGACAAGAAGAAGAAGGAGGAGATACTGAGGGCCCGGGAGAGACGCATGACGCAGATGATATACGGACGGGGAGGGTGAGTTGACGAGCTTGTAACATATATATAGATAGACATATTACGTAGATATATAGTTAGTAGCACGCACAAACTTAGAAATACCATATACATTTCAAAAATTTGTTTGTCTTGGTGAACTTGAATATTAGAATTTCAATTTAAAGGTGCCTCATTACCTCTTTTTTCTATAGAATGGTTCATTATTTTTACCTTTAGAGCTAAGATTAAGATAACCAGATTAATATAATGTAATTCGTATAAATTAATTTTCTATGACCATGATCTGTATTATATAATGATGTGCATAATAGAACGCAAGGAAATATTTGAATGTGTGTTACGTCTGTTTATGTGTGGTTAACGCCAAAAATTACCGAACGGTTTACATCAAACCATTGTCGCTGGACACTATCAGATAGTGTTTTCAATACCAGAAGCAGTAAACGAGTGTTGTATGAGAGGCCGCGTGTGTGTGAGTAGAGGCGGAGGGTAACGTCGCTGTGTAATGTCAGATTTGATTGGTGCAGCTGCTCGCCGGTGCACGGGGCGCTCCGGGGCCGCACGCCGCAGCCGCAGCCGCGCCCGCCGCAGGCCCGCGGCGACTACGGTACGTACCGCGGACATCCGCCACGACAACACACGGACCGACACGCCGCACTGACACACACACCCGCGCGGAACTTGGATTGATTTTTTTTAATACTTTTTGGCAAACCTTTTTGATGTTTTTGAATTTGGAATCTCTTCAAAGCGCTGCGGATTTAGAATCTGAATATGGAGCCAATGTTCCCAGGGTCTGGTCTGTGACGTCACATCTGTCACAGCTGTTCCAACGTCAACACCTGCAGCCACGTGACGTGTCGCTATATATACTCACACTTTCCTTAGAGTAATATGAAAAAGAAGTGTCGAAGCTGTCCATGACGACTGTATTAGTTGTGAAAAATCAATCCAAGGGCACCGCTAGGCACGTCACACGAGGCGGAGGGAGTTACTCCGCCTCGTGTGACGTGTTGGAGTATCGGACTACACGACCAATGTACACGGTGTGGTATCCACGCGCACACGCAACTATCGCTACTGATCCCCTACTAACAAGAGGTTGTGTCAATATGCCGCGCGTCCTGTATGGGCGGTTATATTCTCACAACCCGATACATGTGTCATAACGCTATACATAGGCTAGTATTAATGAGAGCTAAGATTAAGTAGGTTCTCTGCATGGTTTCGGACTAAAGACGTAGAAGATACTGGAGTTTTTGTTTTGAGTAAAGTCTACGTGCGGGAGGGCCGCCTCGTTTAATGTAATAACAGACCCTAACGATCCCTTTGCATGATGGAACATGAAGTAATCATTGTCATCTGTCGCAGCACCCGGAGGTTCCTTTATATAGTGGTGACTGTGCTGTGTGCTCCCGACGACGCTTTCAGTATAGGGTCGGTGACGGGTGAAGGGGTCGATGACCGGACCGAAGATATATAGAGGATGCATGTTGTGTCGTGTGTGTCGGTTTGTCGGAGGTGTGAGGTGTGAGGGAGTCCGCAGCAGCAGGCGGCGCAGGTCGTTGACCCGCCGTAGCGAGCTGTCTCTCGTTTGTCGACAGCTCGGCTCGCCCGCCACGGTAGCTTGTAAGTTAGCGTTAGTTTAGCTTAGCCTCTAAAAGGCCTGTGTTGTGTGTTTATAGATTATGATTACGACTATTACGGGTACGGGGATTACCGAGGTGGCTACAATGAGCCATTTTACCGGTACGATGAGTTCTATTTTGATTACGCGGGGCCACCGCAACCGTCCGCCGTCCGCCAGCCTCCCAACAGAGCGCAGCCGGTGGGTCCCACACACACTAACTAATGTTATCATATTATATTACTAGTCACTAGACGCGCTGTACTCATCATTGTTACCTTTCGGTTTTTGATTTGCCAAATTTTTTTCATCTACTCTTCACTATTATTTTGTTTTATTTTTTTTGGTTGAATCCCATCCTAGAATGGAGTCAGTGACTCGGTAAAGACAGTAGTGTGTAGGCCTGACGGTGGTGATCGTTAGCGGCGGCGGCATCGAGCGCCGGCCGCGACCCGCGGGCGACCGGCCCGGGGGTGGCGGCCGGCGCGGGGAGAGGGGCGGGGAGGGGGCGGGTCGGGCCGAGAGGCGATCGCACCACCAGGCCTGCAGGCTGCCCCCCCGCCCCCCTCCCGTCCCTGTTACACGTCACGTTTCGTCGCCTAGAGTAGTCCCGCGCCTGACAGCCCACCACGTAGTGCTAGTACCGCTTTGCCTGGCTCGCTTCCCTACTAACCCTTAACCCGCTCGGAGTGTCCCCGCCCTGTCGTTAGTGGACCGCTCGTGTAACGTTTTTCTCGTTGTAACGAGGTAGAGAATATGTTAAGAAGACTCACTGACCCGCTTGGTAAATGCCTCACTCAGGACGACGAGCTCGCTCTCGGGCCCGACTCGCTTTACTACGATCTAACTGGAGGCATTCAGGTACCGGTTGAGGCCGTGGTTATATAACTACCGGAGTATGTAGCCTCTGTTTGTATATCGATGTTGTCCATGTGTAGCTTCCTTAGTTTGCTGCGCCCGTCCGGTTCTACTCCGGTACTATCGGATGGCTGTATATTATTTCAGTAGTCGTAGGTACCTGATTGTTCCTATATAAGTCCAGTAGGTATTTTAGCATATTTTTTATCTCGATGTTTTAACGTTTGCCGTAGCCCGTGCAGCGGTCTCTGTATGTAGCATGTTATGTATTTTACTTATTGCGCCGTAGTTATTTTGCTTTGATTAATCCAATAAGTTCATAACGCTGAACAGTTGTACGACCCACTGTATCCATAACTGTATCGACAATAGCTGAGGTCTTTGTATTCTAGTGATATTTATATTAAGATGCTTTTTTTTTATTAAGTTAAAATTCTTTTAATCAGTCAAGTAAAGTTATTTTTTGATTTCAAGTACTAGTTTTTTTGTCGCTATGTACTTTGTGAGAGAACATCTATCTAGTCTTGGAAGTTTCAAGAGTTATAAATCTATAATGTATTTAGAGTTTATTTAGAGCAGCATGTTGAGATGGCTGGATATTATATTGTTACTGTAAACATTCACTACTCTGGTATACTCGTGGATACTACTCACATGGGATTGAACTTGCCAAATTCTTCCCACAAAAGGGACCATTTTTTGGAACGAAGTTCCTTATTTTAAACTCTATCAAGCAAGCGAAGAATTGTGTTTGCAAGTATGCGGGTAGTATCCATGTGTGTATGAGCGGTGTGTGTGTGTGTTGTATCTGAGTGTGTGTGTATGTGCAGGCGGCTGGGTCATGTGGGACGGGCGCGCGCTGGGGGCGGCGCGGGGCCGCGGCTGGGGCCCGTGGTGGTGCGCGCCGCGCCGCTCGTGGCCGCCGCACGCCCAGCGGCATGCGTGGCAACCCGCGCGCCAAGCCAAGTTTACCAGGTACGATATACATAGACGAATGACAACTAGAGATGTTAGGGGTGTCAAAATAATAACAATGTTATAAGACTAGGAATAGAAAGTCCCTCGTGTAAGAATTTGACTAGTGTGAAGGTATTTTATCCACCCTGTATGGACAGTAAACTGTCTTTTTGTATTAGTTGGACCAGTACTAGAGGAAGTCAAACTATTTGTGTGCTGGTCAATATGTATAATTTGTACAATTTATATTTCAAAAACCAAATTTTATTAGCAATGTTTTCTGCAGGACTATATGATAAAAGGATATTCTTATTAACAAATAGCTACAATTAGACCAGCGCCGATAGCTTTTAAAACATAATTATATGTAGTAGAATGAAACTCATTAGAAAAGGAGGATAATATTATAAAAATTAAAGGAAAAATAATTTACGGGCGATCTGAGGTCGGGAAGGGTATGGGGATGGGTATTTAAGGGTAAAAAATAGGTTTTCTCGATTTCCGGCAAAACTAAAAGTCCTGCGGAAAAATTTTATATTGCAAAGTTGTAGGTAATAACCCTTCCCGACCTCAGATCGCCCGTAAATTATTTTTCCTTTAATTTTTATAATATTCCTCTCCTTTTCTAATGAGTTTCATTCTACTGTAATTTATTTTCACTTTTCATTAATTTTAAAGGCTTCTGCACTGGCCTAAACAATAAATTCTTATTTATGATAACCTATTGTTTCCTACCCACCTCCTATCCATTACTATAAGCCAAATTCAAAATTTTGTATTAGAATTTTGGACTCTCGGTCGGCCTCTTAATTGAACCCGTACCCCATCTGATACCTTTCTGTTTCCTTTCAGCTTGTTTAATGGTTTGCGTGTAATCTGGATTTTTATTTATTTATTGGTAACTATCCTTTCCCATCCTAACACCTTATGCTCGGTGAGGTGTTCCACAAACTTTAAGAGCTCGATCGAAGGGTCAGTCCAAAGTTTTATGTCGTGTGAAAGTTTGTGGAGCCTCTCGCCGGGAGTCGTTTATTAGAAGGTAGTTGTATATCTAGTGTGTAGTGCGTAGTGTGTAGTGTGTAGCGTGTAGCGTGGGTGCGTGTGGTGACGCCGTGCGGGTGCCTGTTGCAGGTAAACGTAAACTCGACGGGGGTCAGCAGATCGCTGGGGGGGAGCGGGAGAGCAAGCGGCGGCTGGGCGCGGCGGCGGCGGCGGCGCGCGGCTGGGGCCCGGCGGGGCAGGAGGGGGCCAGCTAGCGCCGCCGCGCCCAGGCGAGCCCCTGTCCCGGAGGCACTACAAGCTCGCAGGGGAGCTCTCGCGCGCCGCGGCTCGCGCGCTCCGCAGCGGATCACGCGGGGATCGTTCCACTTTTTTCTATATATGTGTTTTTTTTATTTGATTTTCACGTTTTCGATTTTGTATCGCGACGATTCCGTAAAAATCTTAAAGTAGGACGTTATGAAATGTTTCGAATGTAAGTTTCCCGTTATGCTTATGTTTTTTCACTGTCGTATTGGCCGTATATATTTAATATATACATTATTTTTGTGGGGCGCGCGGTCGCCGTTGCCTGTTTGCGGCCGCGCGTCGGGTCGGCGACCCCTCGACTGTCTGTTTTTTTTAATACATGTTATTCGATATATTTTATTCCTGCGAACGCATTTTGCGATGTGATGTGTATTTTAGCAGTAATTATTATATTATAAGGAGTTTGACTGTTGTTTTTTGACATACTTACAACTTAGGTTACATGAGAATGAATTTAATGGAATGAATTGAACTCGACGACTAGCAATTACGGCTAAAATAAAAACACCTGTAATCGATAACATTTCCCAACTGTGTTCCTGCTTTAGTTTTTTGCTTTATTTTTATTACATAGTACCCCTTAAATACATTAGTGTGAGGAAGTAGTATTGTAAAGTTCAGGATTCTGCAATGTTTATTATTATCGCTGTACTACTAAACGGTTTTTTTTGTATATCGACCACAATATAGCATGTCCATACTGTTAGAACTCTGACTTGTATCAATTGTATCAGTTTAATACGTGGAATAAATTTGCAAAACTGTGTTTGCCTTATTACCCTATTGTTTTCTTTTATTTGCCAAACCACCTTAATTTGTTTCCGCATTTCAAAGCGATTTGGTATTGAGCTGTGTGAATATACCAAGATGTTTGTGAAGATTTTTCCATAAAAAATGTATGTGTAATATTTAATTTTACTATAGAAGAATGTAAGCAATACCTACCACAGACATAACTTCCTTCTGGAAATTATACAGAAGAATATGTAGCTAAAATTGAGAATATGCCCTTAACATCAGTATTCTGACTTGGAGACGTTGAAATGATGGCGAATAGGATACTAATTTGTAACTTAACGTTTTTCTTATATTTTGGTGTACACCAATAAAAAATATATATACACATTGAATCTCTAAACAATTAAATTTCGTTACTACTAACGCCTACTGTTAAACCCTTAATACGGCATAGATAATAGGAATTTAGTCATTATCTTTTTTTTTATAAATAAAACCTTTATTTAATAAATAATATTCCTTCATATGAAGCTAAACATTTTTGCTGAACGATTAATTTTTGAGAATAATTCATTCAAAGAAAGTCCATCCCTATATCTGTCTGGCCGTAGTTAAATATGGACACCGTTTCCATTATACAATAGATAATGTTGAAATAAAGATATAATAGTCAATTATTAGTTTTTTAGCAACAGTTGATTTATTTCCGCAGTACCACGTTGATAGAAAAAAATTCGTTGCCGGACCACGTTTGAAACATCCACAACTTGTGTTATGTTTTCATCCAATATTGATATTGGTATGTATTAAAGCAAAACCTTGATAAATATAATTTAAAAATAGGGATGAGGAAACAAATTATAAAACGATAGAGCTCCTTAATAGCATAGTGCCTAAAACGACCACATTTTTTAAAGAAACAGATCTTAGGATTACAATGTACAGGTAAAAATTAAAAACGTCATAATTAAAGATGTTTAAATGCCAGCAGACATGGGATCTGAGTAAATGAAATAAAATCTCCGGATTCTTATTGTTTACTAGAAGACCTGGCGAACTTCGTATCACCCTATAATCAAGAAATATCTATTACGTTTTTTATTTATATTTTTGGAGTTTACCTGTAAGCCATAAATCTCCGTGTTTTGAAGTGTGACAGAATGATTGACACATTAGTTGTCAAATCTAATGTCAAAAAAACGTTTGTATGGGAAATAGAAAAGGGCTGTTTTTATGGTTTTCCCAGTAATGAATCAATTTTTTTCAGCTTTTATACCTTCCCTGAAACTCCACGAACATTTCAAGACTAAGATAAGATAAATCCGTTCAGCCGTTCTCGAGTTTTAGTGAGACTAAGGAACAGCAATCCTTTTTTATATATATAGAAGATAGAAGATTTAGGGCGCTCTAACGCAAACATTTTATATAATATCCCTTTTTTAAATTATAACTATGAATACTCAATTCAGAATAAAAGAATAATAACGTTTAAGTCGTAAAGGAAATAATTGATGTGGGCGAAGTTTCCCTACAGCTGGCTTTAATGATTGGGTTTTTCTTTAAGTAGGTAGGTACGTAAATTCAATCGATCGTCTCGATGACACTTGATGACGTCTGACAGTTTGCTGGCTGTCAACAACTTGGTCATGAAGAAATAAAGAACTTTCAATACGGCTTTTTTTAAATTTACAGTATAGGCTAGTGCAGAAGCCTTTGAAATTAATGAAAAGTGAATATAAATTATAGTAGAATGAAACTCATTAGAAAAGGAGGGGAATATTATAAAAAATAAAGGAAAAATAATTTACAGGCGATTTGAGGTCGGGAAGGGTATTTAAGGGAAAAAAATGATTTCCGGCCAAACTAAAAGTCCCACAGAAAAAAGTTATATGGCAAAGTTATAGGCAATAAAAAGATCTAAAACTTTTGTCCTGACATTTTTTTCACATAACCTCAAAACTTATGTGAAAAATTCAAAAAACCAAGTTTTTGGTTTTTTATTTTTATCTCTTCCAAAAAACAATTTTTTGTCACGAAATTTGGTGAAAACTTTCCTTTTGATGTTTTAAATGCACTGTAATTTATTTGATTAGAAATATTTATTTTTTAGCTTATTTTGAATAAATACCGAAAAATCAGCCTCATTTTCAATCGAAAAATCACCCGTCAAAAATATCAGCTTTTTCAAAAATATGGTATGTTTTATATTTGTTGAAATCTCTATTTTCCGATGGTGAAGAAAAAAATATAAGTTTTTTACTTACAGTACCATTTTTGGATAAAATAATCATGTCTCTTAATGAAATGACACTCGACATCATTTTTGAAAATGCTCTTTCTAATTTATTTTTAATAGTTGTGTACACTGGAAGTTCTCCAGATAGTCTCTCTTTTAGGTAATTTACAGAAAATTGACATTAAGCTGCTAAAACTTAGGTATTAGGCGGTCCCTAAGTTTTATTGAATTTTCTACCTCTGCAATTTCTGATATACATATAATACATATAATATTTTATAAAGTATTAAAAAATATTTTAAGAGAGACAAATTGAATGTGTAACATGTTCTTAACTTATAATGAACAACGAAAATTGAGTGGTTTTAAACGAAGCAATCAACACGAACCGAGTGATGTACTTGCGAGTCCAAGTAAATGTTTTTAAAATAAATAAATATAATATTGATTTGATTTGATAGAGTTGCTCCGATCAAAATTATTAGCTTATTTAAAAATAGATGAAAATAGAAATTGTTTGGATTTCTTCCGAAAGCTCGTTGAAATTTGTGGCGAAGGACTTATTTCATCGACCACCATTGTAGATGACAAAGCTGCTATTTAAACTATCCATCCACAGGTATATGAATACCTACTGCATTTTTAATACATTGGAAAGATAACAGGAACTGTTAGCATTTCTGTTGAAGAATCAGTGACATTTTGATTATTTGTTCCCGACAGAAGATATGAAACTTGAAGCGAAAAGAAAGTGAATTGAATCAAATGTAGAAATAATTTTTCTAGGCATGTTCTGGGCAACATCATAGCTGTTTGCAATCGTGGGACGATATTTGAGAAATCATGGTATATCAAAATTTTGCCAGGTCTGTCGTATTCAAAGGAGTATCTTGGATTTTTATGGATTATAATGTGTTAATCCTTGATAGAAATTCGGTTGGGTATTCATTTTATGGTCAAACAGACTTTTGCCTTAGTAACCTTGCTTTGCAAGATTTATCTAAGTTCATTTAACTTTATGATTACTTCGGATATTCCAAAACTTTTTTTTACTGTATCTAAAACTGATCCTATTTATTAAAGAATAAAATACAACTAAAATCATTTCATACCAATTTTCAACTGGAATCCTAAATAGTTACATTATAATTCAATTTATTGACAATGGGACACATCATTTATATGATATACAAAAAGTGTAAAATGTATAACAAAAATAAAATTTGTTTATAATCTGAATAATAAAAATTAAAACTGAGATGCAATATGTGTTCATCGTTACAACTCTTCCATTATAAGGTTCAGGTCAAAAACATTAATACAATGTCAATAAGTATCAATGTCCGTTGTCTTTATTTCATAGTTAACCCAATAGACGAAACACAAATTAGTATCGCAAGTTATAGATTTGTTTCTCCTAACCACACACCTAACACTTTCCTAGGGAATATCAATTAACAAATCAAATATGCATTCGTCATCTGTCACAGTATCTAATAAAAATAATCTGGTTTATTCCCTGATTCTACATCATTGTCATATTTAGGTAACACCTGAAAAGTTTCTGCAACTTTTAGTGAAAAGATTTATTAAAAGTTTATTATTTTATTATAGTAATTTAAAATCTGATGTCTTCATCTAGTACTAGATTTGATTGCAACATTATCGACGGTTTGTTCATATAGAGGGTATATATAATGAAAGTCATGATACAATGTAAAGTGTATTGCGGTCACACGGTGTCCGTGGGGGCTGCGAGTCTAGCTGCCAGGGTGTGAGGCGGGGGTCGGGGCGGGGGCGGAGGCCCGCGAGGTCTGCGGCGCCTCCAGCACGCGGCGACACCCACCAGCCCTCCAGCAGCAGCCCCCGCCACCCACCACACCAGACTGCTGCTCGCCTCCGCTGCCGAGCTAGAGCCTGTCGATCCACGCTTGTTATACCACGGAAACTGTTCCTTCACTGGCGCTCAGCTAACCGGCGCGGCGTGTGGATAGTACGGAATTTTTGACGAAAACACTTGTCTTAACGCATATATCCAATTTGTTTCAGCGTAAATCTACTAAGTTAATTGCCTTTATTTATATACTTTAAACCAAAACAACTGTTATCTGTGATATACTCGGGTGGTAACTAGAAATCTAATTTTATATTTCTTTAGCACTATTTAGAGCGCTATCTACAAGAAACTCAAATTTATCATTCTGGTCTCATTGACCTGTACATTTGGACTAATTGTCGTAAAATTAGATATAATTTTTTATTAAAGTTTCTTATAGATAGAGCGTGCTTGATACATTTATTCATATATTTAACTTTTGTATTTTATTACTGCATGCAAATCTAACAAAGCTACTTAGATTTGGACCGTCTCGAATGCAAGGTAACCATGAGTTAGCCATCAGAATTATATGAACTGAAATCAAATATAACTGAGCATGTAATTAGCACGAATGAAGCCGAAAACTAAATAACTCCATGAAAATTCTTTAATACTTACATCTCTTCACTACGCCATTACGACACTATTATCTACAATTTTCACTCTTGATGCGAAGAAAGACTCTGATATTTTAATAATAATGTTGATACAATTATATTCACAACTCGAAAATTATAATTTTTTCCCAATAATAATCCAAAGTTCTTATATTGAAGCATCATAATGTATGCGCACCGCAGAAGGCTGAAGCATGGATCGAATTTTCCTTTCAATTATTTGTATGAAGCTACGAAGCAAAGATGGTTCCTCTCAGTTATGTATTCATGAAGATTTATAAGCGGGATGAAGTATGTATCGTGCTAAGCGACAGAGGGACGCGAGGATCAGGAGTGGGGGTATGTAGAGACTCACGTGTGCAGCGCCCGGTCAGTGCGGGCGGCGAGCACAAGCGATAGGACGACGAGCGCCGCGCGAGGCCCGCACAGGACCGACGCCGCAACGCCTGCGCACACCGCCGCGTCAGACGTACCACACCCTCCCCACACATCACACGACAACCACATACTAACATTGATTGAACGATTGACGTGTGAATGTGAACGGTAAGCACTAACTTAGATAGAAATTCGATCACGAATTAACATACATAGAAAATATAATTCATCTTTACAGTGATTGAATTTCTGAAGCAATGCTATCTAAAATGATATAAATTTATATTTTACTATTAGTTTCGATGGTTTAACACATTTTAGAGAACATTTTAGCGAGTTACATAATCGAAATACTTGGTTACATGAGCATTTAAGTATTTGACAGACGGACAGATCAAAAAATATGTCCATACATTTTTAATCCAAGTATTTCAAATATTGGACGTGGTACCCCGGGCCCTATAGTGCGATGACTCAATGCAAGCTTCGTCCCATTGGTATTAATTCTATTACAAACACAAATACATTGTAATCTTAACAATTTTATTCCTCAACTCTCCTGAGTCATCACAATATAATTAGGAAGGAAAAGAATTTAGTGAAAAAGAGTTTATGGATGTAGGTACATTGAAATGGCGTATTAATGAAGAGAATATAAAAGAAAAGTTTCAGAAGGGACGCAGTTCGTAAATAAAATAGACCAGTCATTCAACATCGTCAATATATTACGCTATTTATGTCATTATTTCATCAACAATTTAAAATGGATCGAAGAAAAAACCTACGAAAGTTAAACACGAATTAGAATCCTCTGAGACAAAGATTGCATTGAACCCTCAGTACTGAGAAGGTAATAGTACAGTGATATATTATATATATGATTTACGTTATTTAGAAAATATTTTTAACACATCTACAGTTTTAAATGCAGTATTATACAATTCATAGAAGAAAGCAGGAGTAAGCAGAAAATGCTACAGCGTTCATTGACAACAAAATGTATCAGACAACACGTTTGAATACAATAAAAGTTTTTTTAAACTCGTACTGCTTACTCCGTATAAAAACTACATTTTACTTGATAACTTTAAATAATAATTTTCTTGCAACCACACAATGCAATAGTGTAAATACAATATTTATGTACGTGACATTAAAGTGCATACTTCATACGTTTTACAATTATTTTTATGTGAATATATATTTTATTTAAATGTAATCAGATCATGTTTTATACACTTAGCTGGCGCCCAACGCGGGTTTTGATTCCCAGTTTGGGCGCCATGTACATTGTTTTAGAAGGAAGAGTCAAGAAAATATTGTTCTAGACCAGTCAATGTTTAATATATTACATATAAATGAGACTCGCTATATAATTATACGTCATACATCATATTATTTCGAGATGTATAATTGAGAACTATGAGAATCCTATTCAACTATCTCTTTTATTGCAGAACATAAAGTTTTCTTAGTAAAATTCTGCCTCATTACAAACTATATAATACTTTCAACATATAATGCGGTCATTCGTCATCAGTTAGGTGCTATACTGTGCAAGTGTTTCTGTGCTATTTATTACAGCAGTCATGTGTATACGAGTAGTATAGCTCTAATGTGTATTAACTGCGTATTGCCTCAGTTCCAGCGATGCAATTGATAATGCATAAGCTTGAATTCACTCAATTTATAAGCATGTCTTATTTAAGTATACTGTGTGAAAGCTTGGACTGTAGTTTGAATTCGGCAAACTTATACAAAGACTATATACTTAAGAGTTATAATACTTGTTGGTAGTTCACAATGCTTATTCGCTTATCAAAATGAATAAACGGTCCTGATATATAACACGTATTACATTAGTTTGACAAGAATTGTATGATAAATATTCGTTTTACAATAACAACTACACAAATCACCTGAAAATATGATTGGTACTTGAATACTCATTGCAGGCGATCTTATATGATATAATAATGTTAAGTCTATACAGATAAAAGACATACCGTCCTCAACTATCAGATAGTGATACTAACAGTATGAGGGTTGTGTGGTGGGCTGGCCGGCGCAGTGTTGCAGGCCGGAGCAGGCGGCGCGGGGTGGAAGGCAGGCCCCCCCACAGACGGCGGGGCACTCCTCCCCCCCACCTGAACCAGACACGCCGGAGCCCCCGGGGGGACCCACAGTCACCTCCGTCCATATAGCGCGCCACCCCGCCGCGCCTACTGACTTATCGGCTATAATGAATCTGAAATAAAAAGGACCTAATTTGAGTAGAAAATTATAATAAAATAATAATAATAATAATAAACGTTTATTGTTTAAAAGATTACACCACTACAAAACAAATAACAAACAACAAAATAAAAAACAGAGTAACACTTATCCTATGTATACAAAAAAGGAAAATAAAATAACATGACTACTACAACAGGACAAATATTAAGTTTAAAATCAATAACAATAATAATAAGTATGCAGCAGTGTAATTTAACCAAAAGGAGAACCACTCAGTGAAAAATAGAGTCAATGTTGCTTCTACACTGATTTTCAGTGATCTCCTAATGTTGCTCCTCCTTAAATTAACACTTTATATGTAAATTGTATATTGTCAGATTACTTTAGTAAGTATCCGTTGGCACAATTATCAATATATTAATCAAAAAACCGTCTAGTTTTTCTGTCTGTCTGGTCTTTCTACTCTTCTAGAAGAATCTTCTAATCAATTCTAGACGTCTGTCAAACTGTTTACAAATCACGAGATCCTGTTCTCTAGCGACGCCACTAAGTTAAGCTAAATAATTATTTTGTACACCAATTTCCGCATCGGTCATGAATCCTCGTAACAATTTTGTGATTTAAACCTATTTGATAAATTAAAAGGACTATCTTATAAATTAAAAGATAATGATCTTATAATAGCCTTATACAGTAGTGGCCTAGTGGTTAAAAGGCTCGCCTCTCATGCATGAGGGCGCGGGTTCGATCCTGGCAAGTACCAATGTGATTTTTCCGAGTCATATGTACTTTCTAAGAGTGTTTAGACATCTCTGATTAATGCATTCCCAAAGAGAGTTGATGTCAGGCAGGCGGCCGGTCGTAAAATCAATTAGCCAAAACTATTCACAACATGTAAGGCAGACCCTGGCTAAAGCTGGGAAATTGGAGAAGAATAAGAATGATCTTATAGTAGCGTAATATTTGTATAACTCACGATAGTCTAATGGAGTTTGATGAGGACAGGTATTGCCAGCGGTCGGCAGGCGCCTTCTCCCCGCACAGCTCGAGCGGCGGGCCCGGAGACTCGTACCAGAGACGAAGCACCGCGGCCGGACAACCACGCTCTATAGGTATAGATAATAAGAGTTAATGACGTAATCACTGGAAATGTATTTAGAATTTGAAAGAAGAAAGAAAGAAAAGACATTTATTGACATACACACAAAAAAAGTATACAAAAAAACAACATTACAAAAATAAAGAAAATAAATATAATTGATATGAAACTTGTGGCTAGGCTATGAGGGTTTTTTTTATCCCTCTGCTGATTTTCAGCTGTCGCCTTTGTGGCGAGTGACAGTATCAACCAAAGTATCGATGTGTTCCTCAAATATTACCAATTAGTGCAGAATTTATTTATGCCGATAAGCAAAAAATTCCAAAGGATGACCAATTAGTGCAGTCTTTTTTGATAAGTAAAGATTGCCAGATAAATAGGTCAATATTTATTCAACGTACCAGTAAGATGTCCCTCAACGGCGAAGTGGTCGAAGTTAATGAGTAATCTTTTCCCCGGACGTGCGGTGATGAACCAGTTACACACCCTGGAGGCCGCTCCTCTTGAGGGCGCCTCGTAAGGTAGCGGGTAGCGAGGGGAAGACACCACCCCCCACGCTGATCCTGACACATTACCGCCACAGTCGCCGAAGATTGATTTAGCCGGCTGTCGATATGTATATCTTTATATATAATATAATTCTTCTGTGAGTGTGTATGTCAGTGAACTTCTTTCAAACGACTGGACCGATTTTGATGAAATTTTTTGTGTGTGTCCCAGATCCCCGGGAATGGTTTAGATTCACAATTTTGTCCGCTGGACAATGTTTTTTTAATTTATTAGTAGTTGTTGATAAAAACGTTTTTTTTTGACATTAGATTTGACAACTAACTAATATGTCAATCATTCTGACGCACTTCAAAACACGGAGATTTATGGCTTTAATAGGTAAACTCCAAAAATATAAATAAAAAAATGTAACAGATATTTCTTGATTATAGTGCGATACGAAGTTCGGCGGGTCTTCTAGTTTTTTATATAATGTAGTTTAATTCAGGTAGGAAAATCAAATAGTCTCACTATAAGTTAGGTCATCTTTGCTAAGTATAGTGCGTTTGATTTAAGCTGAGCTTTGCATTTGTGTGAGTGCACACGGATAGTGTAGGAGTGATGTCAAATTTTTTAATGGAACGTTCTTTTCTAGATTTAAACCGGTTCATTCTGATTTAAATCCGCCCCACAGCTTCCTCACTTCACCCTTTGTACTGGTAGCAATTTCAAATGTTGAAAACGCAATGTCAAGTGATTGAAAATTTGATTTGTTTAAAAAAAAAAATTATTACTTAGTAAATTTTTTTCTATAATATTTCCATTTAGCCTTTTACATGTTCTGCTTATTTTATTTTTAATATTAACTCTCGGGCTTTTGTCATGTATCCATTTGAATATAATAAAATTGAATTCTAAAAGTTTTTCGTCTAACGCTACTTTTACTTTCACTCACACAAATGCAAAGCTCAGTTTAAGTCTAACGGACTATACAAGATATAGACAACAAGCTTTTATAAAGCTATAATTTTATCGGTGAGAAGTATAAATGTGTAAATGATGTCTATGTTTACGGCATTTTTACATTAGACATTTTGGAATAAGAAAACTCTATAACGCTCATGACACGAAATGACGTCATCTAGTGTCATGAGCGTATTCAGTAGTTAGTGTCAGGCAATGTTTTTCATGATGTAATATTAAGGACTATGTAGGTCTAAAGAACTTTAACTAACCTCAAATACATATCTCGCCTTAAACCCTGAAGCAACAGAGTCGTAGTCTGTGTGCAGAGCGATCAAAAGGCCCAAGGCCCCGCGAGGAGACTGCAAGGGTCCGGGGGTGGCGGGCCCGCACCAGCGACCCAGCGGGACCCGCGAGCCCTCTCGGCCCGTCCACCACGCCTCTACCCAATCTTCGATACACGTTGCACCACTGAAAAATTTGATTAATGAACTTGTAAGTCCCTATTGAGTACGGAAAATATGTATGTGTGTATGTATATAAATGGAAGTTTTTTTTATTTATTGGATCGCCAATAAACAAATGCAACCATTAAAATTAATACAATTAAGATGCTATGTGCTACCTCAGTTACAGGCAACTTCATGCTGAAATAGTTACAGAGTGCGTGTAATCATAAAGTCAACATTTTAGTTTGAATACCTAAATATAAATGCATGAAGAACAAACAACTAGAAAGTAAAATCTAAGCTTAATTAATTAAACATTATTTAACTATTACCCGTATAAGCCAGCAGTAGCGTTCCATGTGTCCGCTTTAACCTTGAAGTGATCAAAAACAACTGTGACTTGTTCGTTGGGAGTCGCCACTAGTGTGTATGTACAGTTAGTGCGTGAGGGATAGTTTGATGGGTACCGCGGAGAGTTAAACTCTCCTCTCTTCTTAGCTTCGGAGCGATATGTAAAGGCGCACTCTCCACCCGGCGCCGCTGTCCCTGGAACTCGATATTCTGAAAATTAAGTTATACTTAATTTACTAAAATTTTTTTACAGAGTTTCCAGTTTAATCTAAACTAGCTTTCGGTGGAGTTCAGTTATATTTCATTTCCAAGAGAACCTTTCAATAGTCTGGAATAAAAACTATTCTTTGTTCTTTTTCAAGGTCAACTCTATCTCTGTACCAAATTTCATTCAAATCAGTTCAGTGGTTTAGGCGTGAAAGCGTAACAGACAGACAGACAGACAGTGTTACTTTCGCATTTATAATATTAAATAAAGATGTTGAGGTATTTTTGTAAGAGATATCAAAAAAATGATATATCTATACATACGTACATATGTATGTATGTGTAGATATATTCTGTGTGTCTGTTCTAATATTGAAATAACCGTTCTTTTTTACTACATGCAAATGAATATATAGACGGTAACATTTATTAAATTTTTTTCTGTATATCGTTTGTTTTGTCTAAACTCTGAACTGGCTGTACCGAATTTGACAGGACTTTTATTGGCAGATAGCTGATTAATAAGAAATAGCTTAGGCTACTTTTTGTCCCGATTCCCAAATTAAGATTTATCACATTCAAGTAGATGGTAGTGCTCATGCGTCACTTAAAAGTTTTTGCGGAGATAGACCGTTAACAGCCAGTATAATATATATCTTTCACGCACCAGTCTCAAAAGTATATTTGGCTTTAAATCCTCTTCCTTGCAACTCCCCGGAGCTGAAAACCATGACGAGCCTCGGTCCGTCAGACAGGAGTGGAGGCGGGAAGGCTGGTGGACCGGCAGACCCTTCACCACAAAGCTCAGCGTCATGTTTGTCATAGGAATCAGTCGCCTCTTGACCGCGCAGATACACCTTCAAGTAACCATCGGGACATGAACTGGAAAATATATATATATTAGTAGGAATGAAGCTTAAAATAGAGGTGCTTTAGTTAAATTATTATGTATAAACTTACTCCGGTTTTGGATTTTCACCCTTTGGTATCGAAAAGTTTTGGAACTCCAAACGAACCCTCTCTAAGTTTTGTGAGTCTTGCATACCATATATAAAATATCTGCGTAAAACGAAAATTTGAATATGTACTTTGAGCTTAATCTAAAAAAAAGTTATAATTATACATATGTCTATATTGGTAACTGACCTACAAACAACTTTTTGTATATAAGGAAACGGATAATTTGGGTGATAAACGAATCCCGTCGATTCCTTTTTGCTAAGTATTTTCTGATCGCACTCCGAACCCCTAATGTGTTCGGCGTCATGTTTACTTATAAAATCTGCAGAAAATAACCATCACATTAAAAATAGCGTAATATTCAAATATTGGAATGATATGTAACGATGTAACTCCTAGGAAACCTCACCTAATTTAACAAAACTCTCTGAAAACTCGAAGATACCCTTGAACCCTCGATTCTGTGTGTTCGCTGACCTCGGCAGAGTAAAGAAAGTTACTAGGAGCCTCTCGTCGCTGGAGTAGAGGACCAGGTTCCGTTGTTGTCCGCAGTACGTGCCCACGGCCGCCGACGAATTGTCGGGCCCGTCGTACACGCGCACCCAGTCGAACGGGCAACTGAAATATTAACACATAGGATCAAAGAAATACTACATAATTATCCGCATTTTTTTTAAAAGTATTATGTGTCATGGCCTGGATTTTTTGTGCCAATAGATGATTCCATTAGTTGGAGTGTTAATTTAAAAGAATCTCATATTGTTGTAAAAAAACTACATACTCCCAACGTTTCGGTTACTTTTCAGCAACTGTGATCACGGGCATAGGCGATGTGAATGTCTGTCAGTTACAGAAGTTTTTTTTACAAAAATAAAGCACGCGTAGTATGTTCGAAAAATATTAATTTCATTTAAATGAATACTCTTGAAAGTCTTAGATGTCATTATGCAGTGTTGATTTTATTTTTAAATTGTTGTTCTATACTATAATATATTAAATAACCAACTCAATGTCTACATCGTATCAGATAGTACAGTATTTGCAGTTACCATATAAATAAGATCTGAGGGACAAGAAATGTGAAATATAAATATAAATGAATGTGTTAGTACTGGGGACCGCCGAAGAACAGATCGAAGTCTCTGAACTCGAGTCGTATTCGCTGGCCGGGCTGTCCCACGAATTGATAGTTGCAGATGGTGTCCTTCGGGTATAGTCCCGGATACGTAGGCGACAAAAGGAGACCCGTCTTGCGTTTGCTGGCCTCGATCACGAACGAGCACAGTGTGTTGGGTACGGGAGTTCCCACTTCGTATTCCGCTAGACCAGAACAAATACATCGATCAATACTTGAAGACTAACCTAACAACCTAAACTTTAAATAAAAGAACTTTAATTTAAATAGAAATCATTAGTTGCGATCTGTTAAGATTTTAAAAGCACTTAAGGAATTTTTTTTTTGTGTCGTTCGAGTACTATTAGAAGAGATATCTAGACACATACAAATCAAATTTATCGACAACAAGATCTATTAAAAATGACAAAAACCTGTTTTAAGCATACATCAAAACGGGCAAAATTCTATTTTAATATTGTGATTAGAGGGTAGGGTCAGAAAACATAAGCGACAACTCACAGGCGTTGATGAAACGATATGTTCCCGCGAACAGAGTTGGTGGTGTGTAAGTGTGATCTGTAAAAAAAGCGAGAGCGACCGCCCGGTGCAGAGAGACCCGCCTCCTGGGAGGTATGGGGCCGCAGTAGCGTCCACCGAACGCTGAGTTCACTAACTCGCCCGCCTCCAGAGACGCCATCTCCGAGTAGATGTCCATGTACTCGTGCATGCATCTACACAACAACACGAAACTTCTTACCAATCAATGTATTCACCGTGAGTGTGCCGGGTCCATCGTTGCAGCGAGAGGAGCTTCAACAGTGACTGGGACTTGCGACCCAGGTGTAGGTTTAAGGGGTTTAACTAACTGATTTTAATGAATTTTGATACAGATATAGAGTTGACCTTGAGAAAGAATAGGATAGTTTTTATCCCAGACTTTTGAAAGTTTCTCTTGGAAACGCGATATAACCGAACTCCACGCGGGCGAAGCCGCGGGCGGAAAGCTAGTACTATATATCTGTACCAACCTATATATCAAAGTTCTTAATGCCTTGATTAATATATTTGGTGGTTGCAGATTATAAACATTTCTTGGCCCAGCTTTATCTTATACATCAAGGAGCTTTTAAAATCACAAAGGCCTCGTCAAAGAAATATTTTTAGGAAGTTTGTATTTTGTCTGTTAAACAGTTTTAATGTGAGCGTAGTTAAATAAATTATTTGAATGTGACACAGAAATTATCTTGAAAACTATCTTGAACCACAAACTAATAATTTTAACTGTTATAACTTAATAAATATTATGATTACTTACGCCGGGAGTTCCCCCACTGCTGCTCCACTAGAAAAGAAACAAATATTATAGTAAAAAATTAAGTCTCAGAAATCAGAATTGGGGAAAACTTTTCTAATAGAAAGAAAATTTGCTTGTACAGGGAACATCTTAACCTGAGTTGGACATCCAATCTATATTTAATATATTCAAATATTGATATTAAATAAACATATATTTTTAATTTCTTAAAGTATGAAATGTAAATTTTATTGAAGTATAAAACGTTTCTCTCAATTTTCGACATACAGGTTGTTCAAAAACTTTCTTCATATCATTATTTTTTAAAGAAGACTAACTTTTCTTTAACAAATCTTCATGTTACTTGAAATTATTGTAAAAAAGGTAAAAGATTCTCTAAATGTTTCAACAATCTAAGTAGCGGTAACCCTGGATTGTAAATTACCAATTTCGATATTACATTGTTTAAAACAAGGTGAATCTATCATTCATATAAGGTTGTACGTTCTAGTTCTAGATTGTTCTAGAATATTCTAGATTGTTCTAGACTTAATTCGTGTTAAACCTTAAAGTTTATTATCTATTGGATCACTTTATATAATTCCGTTCTGCTAGCGATCACAGAAAAGCTTTACGCGCTAAGTCTATTTATTTTAAATTGCTCTCGCTCTGTTTGTTTTTCTAGAGCTGAGATAATGATATAACAAAACCTCGGATGAAGTTGTTTAAATGATTATGTATTTGAACTGAATACTAACGATTTATATACAATTAAATTGGTAGAAACATATGTATGTAAAAAATATATCAGTTAAACTTGTTTAATAATTATTATTTAGAGCATCATTATAATTTAATGCTGTCATATTTTATTCATGTAAATTACGTATTTGTATTGAGTATGTATACATTATATTGAGAATATGAAGTAAGTAGTAACGATAGATGAAAATAAGTATCAAGCATGCTATGTAGTTTTATTGTGTGGGTGTTTTAACTCACTCTGGAGGTTTGCCCCTGAGATCGAATGTTCTGAACTCGACGAGGACCCGCTGCCCTGGCGCCGCTAGGAACGTGTACAGACACTGACGGCTGTGGTTGTTGGGATTCAGAAGCTCTGGAGCGTGGAAGGTACCGTTGCTGGCTCCTCCGCGACTCACGAACGTACGGTCGCACTCTATGAACATACACATATATTAACCAATCAGATTCAAGAAAAATATACGAAAAAAAACATGCTTCAATACCCATGTTTAATATTAACCAATCAAAATTGAGAATAAAAGATTTAGTACTTATTTGCAACGCTTATTGGTTAATTTGATAAGAATTTTATTTCGTATTTTTAATTTGAAAGGAATAACTTGGATGGACTTTCTTATAGTAAAACTTACGAGTGATTTAATCTCGACTAATATAGTCAAAGTGGTTTGAAAAATGCAGATTAAGTGGAGAATTCATTAAACAAGTGTGACAGCTAGTTTTATATAGGGCTTCGAACAATTAACAAATAAAAAATTATATATGTAGTTCTCATTTACAGTATTCGGGAGGTATAATATTATTTTTATATTATTGAAGTTTAAATTTCTAAAAATTCTATACGAAATTATTTTTCATAACTTAAATTATGAGTACAAAAACTAACCGAAATTATGCAAAATGGAGTGTCTTTGCCGTTGTTCAATGTTAAATAAAATATGTCAATGTTCGAATAATGACTGATAATTTGTTCAGTAATTGTTAAAAAATACATCTAAATGTTACAAAATGTAAATGACTTATAAAAACTGTAAGAAGGCTGGTGTATAAAAGAGAGCAAGTATCATATTAGGCTTTTTATACTCTACTTAAATAAAATTTTCGCTTAAACTTTTCTTTTCATCACTGTGGAAGTTCAGATATAGCTATGGTTCATGATATTTCACGACAAGTTCACCTATATTGTATAATAGATCTTATCACATTATATTATTAAGGTAGGTTATTGAATGAGAGAGTAGAAACGCTTCAAACTTGTCTATGCAAAATTTGTGTTAAGCAGAATGTTCTTATTGCACAAATTCATTTGTATTGTTATTTAAATAAATAGTGCCACGACTAGAAGTGATGACTCATTATTTTAAGAAAGAAATCTAATTTAATTTAATAATTTACAGAAATGTTCAGAATCAGTAATATTAGTTTGTTATTATTCAAACATGAAACAAAAATATACTCATTGCAACGATGTTATAATAATTGAATGAAAAGTCAAAACTCAATTTATTTTCGTCCTAAAAATCTAAGTAGACGTATCTTTATAACTTAATAATTTAATACAATTAGGGAAAACGTGAGTTAAAAATGGAAATGCGGTCGCATGGTGTGTAATAAAAAATGTTTGAAACTCCGAACTGTAGGTAAATGAGCACAAAGCCGCCTTTTGTTCTCAGTTTTTGTGTAACTGAGCGGCAGAGATAAAATTAAACCGTCTGAATATATAATCTCTTTATTTGACCGCTGAAAGTTTAGGTTGGTTAAGGTACACTGTCGAAGTTAGGTCGAGAATTATACGAGTACAAATATACTAAACAAATTTATAAAATATATATATACCTATATTGTTGTACATATTAGTTGAGTCAGTGGTGGCCTAATGGTTAAAGGGCCCGCCTCTCATGCACGTGGGCGCGGGTTCGATCCTCACAAGTACCAATGTGATTTTTCCGAGCCATATGTACTTTCTAAGAGTATTTAGACATCACTGATAAATTCATTCCCAAATAGGGTTGATGTCAGGCAGATGGCCGGTCGTAAAAACAAATAGCCAAAACTATTCAGAACATACAAGGCAGACCCTGGCTAAAGCTGGGAAATTACCAGGAAGAAGAAGAAGATTGTTGTATTAGTTACATATTTATAAGTTAAGAAATCGTTTAGGGATATAGTTAAAAATTGGCGGTGAGATAGCTTATAGCCAGGAGAGATCGAAAAAAATACTTAATAAATTCCAATATCTGGTTGTTTATACCCTCTAGGACGGAATTGAGTTCGCTCGGTCATTTATACATGTATGCCTAAATTAACGCAGACAAAGACACAAGCAAAAGCTAGTATATTATAAGTTATAAATGTATTTAAATAATTTAAACAAGTTTCTAGGCAGTGCTGTAGATTTTCTCTCGTCGAGTTAAAGCAAATCTTTCAAAGGTAAAACTGTTTATCAAACGAAAAGAACTCGTACGTATGTATGTCAAAGTAAAAAAAAGTTCACGCTCTGAACAAAAACATCGCTTAAAGAATGTGCTTTCAGTTTGTGAGTGAATTAAAACTAAAATACTTTGCTTCGTTATAATGTGTGAAATACTTTCATTTTATATGCAATATTAAAATTAATATCATATATATTTTTCCTAATTATACTATTTATATATCTGTATAGCTAAGTTAATATATTTTTTACATCATTTTCATATATTTCAATATTAATTGTCATTTATATAAAAAAGTAACTTCCACTTATTTTACGTCACGACTATTTTTATTAAGGACTAGAAGACCTGGCGAACTTCGTATCGCCCTATAATCAAGAAATATCTATTACGTTTTTTATTTACATTTTTGGAGTTTACCTGTAAGCCATAAATCTCCGTGTTTTGAAGTGCGACAGAATGATTGACATATTAGTTAGTTGTCAAATCCAATGTCAAAAAAAACGTTTGTATGGGAAATAGAAAAGGGCTGTTTTTATGGTTTTCCCAGTAATGAATCAATTTTTTTCAGCTTTTATACCTTCCCTGAACCTCCACAAACATTTCAAGACTAAGATAAGATAAATCCGTTCAGCTATTCTCGAGTTTTAGCGAGACTAAGGAACAGCAATCCATTTTTATATATATAGAAGATTAAGACCTATAATATTTTAAAGCCTGAAAATAGTCACTTCTTTTCAAGAAATCAAAATTTTGATCACACTTTTTTAAACAGTATTTTTTTAAATCTGTTAATTTATAAATAATAACGATTAAATAATAATGAATACGTTTTAATGATAATGTAAGGATATGGCGAGTGCTCGGGAAAATAAAGTGCAGTTTATACGTCAAAACAGCGATTGATTTGTTGAAAAGCTTAAATAAGATCTCTATAATAATATAAATTAATGTATATTATATATCAATACGCCAACTAACGAGATCTTATTAGAGCATCGTTTAATATGAAAGACATACTTGGGAGTTTAGTTGGCGTGGTCACGGCGACCGGGACACTCGGAACATCCGTGGTCGCGAGCACTGCACAGAAATAATTACCAGTTATATATAACTTTACTTTCATATTAACTCTATCACTTTCTCTCTTTTTCTCTCTCTCTCTCTGTCTATCTCTTTCCCTCTTCTACTGATTGGCATCTCCTTATAGATTTCGCCAATGTCATGTGTCAATTTTACACTGAACTTTGTAAAAATGGATTTGTGAATTAATAAAATCGCGAGCAGAATAGGATCTAATATTAACTATGTTAAGGCAGACCCTGGCTAAAGCTGGGAAGTTGCCAGGAAGAAGAAGGATTAACTATGTTACCAGACTTTTTGGCGGGAAATATATTTGTTGAAATAATAATAATTTTAGATTGAGTCTCGATAATAGTAATCACTTTTAATTCACTCATTTATAGTTTTGAGTGTTGTTCTGATAATTCCGATTCTGAGATAATATGGTTAAAGAATTAAACACCCGTAAAACTTTTGAAGTATATTCATTAAGTAAGTGGAATTAATACATATAATATATATCTATGTATTTTCTTGTTTCCAAATGACGCTGTTTTTAGTAAGTCTACTTATAGTGTTAGACTTGAAACTAAATTGTAATACCAATAGTGCTAAATAGTTTTGTACCCTTATAATAAATTTAGTTAATATTTCATAAATAGTTCCCACACGATACTATACATGTAGGTTTATAAAAAACATTTCATAATATTTCTTATGTGACGTGACTATGCCGACGTGTGCTTTGTCTTTATAAAGTTATCTGAAGTAAACAATTGCCTATGATAATGTGCAAATAGTGTCAGTTCATAACATAATAATATCGCCTGAAATGAAAAGCCTATTTATTTTTAATAACTAGTTCATAAAATTTCAAATAATTTAATCATTACACTGATATGTGTGAGGTACTATATCTAGCTATTATAGGGCAAAAAAGCCAAAAATTTGTTTTGGAAAACTCTTGTTCTTACATTCCAGAACAAATATTAATGAAACCTAGATAAGAACCTCAAAAAAACTGATTTGCAAATCAAAAACCACATCGAAATTGGACGATCTGTTTGATAGCTATTATGCCACAGACAGATACACGTATTTACGCAGAGAGCATAACACTTTTTTGCGTTTGGTTAAAATTCATTAAATGAATTCCCAGTACATATTTTATAAAGGTATTAATTATCCAGCTCTTCTTCTCACTGCAAGTTGGACGTCAGGAAGTTGGTCGTGTCCTATGAACGACGTTGTTAGTAAACTTCCAAGAATGTAACTAACTTTATGTTGGCACATTCTGTTAAATAATACATTATATTTATATAAAATATTTATCATATATTTAAAATAGAAGACTGCCATTTTGGACGTAAATTTCATTTCGTCTCAGTCGAAGATTACTTCAAAATTAATACACGATAATGGAAATGTGATAGTCAGTGGTGGCCTAGTGGTTAAAAGGCCCGCCTCTCATGCACGAGGGCGCGGGTTCGATCCTGGCAAGTACCAATGTGATTTTTCCGAGTCATATGTACTTTCTAAGAGTATTTAGACATCACTGATTAATGCATTCCCAAAGAGGGTTGATGTCAGGCAGGCGGCCGTAAAAACAATTAGCCTAAACTATTCACAACATGTAAGGCAGATTCTGGCTAAATCTGGAAAATTGCTAAGAAGAAGAAGAAGAATCGAAATATAACATAGTATAAGAAACAAAAATAAAGTTATAAATATAGTTTCAATCAGATAATATACTAGTTCAAATATATATGAAAATTTGTATCGATAGATCAAAATATTTTTAGCCAAAATCCCGACATAAGTCAGATGTTTTCTCACCGTTGTGTTGTGATGCATGTTCTATATTTCTGTTGCTTCTTATTAATAACGTCCAGAGTAAATATTTCCAATACTTATGGTGTATCGAACATTTTTATTTCACACCTAGGCAGTTTCCTGTCTTCATAGTTTCCAAGTTAGACGTGTAATGGAAAACTTTTGAAAATGAACCTTATCTGTTTGTGAAAGAGTGTAAATTAGAACGTACTGAAGACTCGCCTGATCTATTTTCTCGTGATTTAAACTTCTATAAACGATCTCATTCTCTCAGAGTAAAAAAATATAAAATGAATAGTGTTTCTTTATTTTCTATTTTAAGTGTTATTGTTACTGTAAGTAAATGAGCCATATCTTATAATTAGAGTTACATAAACAAATTCATATTATTTTAAATATTTAATTTCAAGTGTCTCTATGTAGATTTAAATGACAAAATAAAAGTATTTTTTATTATTTATATTAAATTCATTAATCTGAGTAAAAGTAATTTGTTTGAGTGCAATTTTTGGTATTAACTGATGCCTCAGATTTAAATCATCAGAATTTCCACATCACTCAATCACGAAAACTTGATTCCACATAACAAATCGAAACGAAAATTTTACATTAAAATACACGCATATTTCATTTGATTCAAGTCCAATCAACAGAAATCTATAATTTTAATATCAAGAAGAATAGTATCAGAAACAATAAAACAAAAACTCGGGATAAAATCTCGGCCATAATGAAGCCCAAGTATCAACAAAAGTCATTCATCATCAAGAGTTCTATAACTTCAAGAAAACGCCACAAATACTGAAATCGATCCCCTTCTGGAACAATCCACTGACGTCACAATACTATCATTCGAAATTTAAATAATAGTTTTTTTTAATTCTATAGCTTAATTCGCACTGGAGTCATGGAATATTCTGCCAATGTCAACGTTTTTATTTGTTAGACGAATTATAATATTGAGTAATTTGTGGAGGAAATATGAAGGAGTTTTTGAGTGGAATAAAAGCGTTGATTTAATATATTTTTTAAAGAAGACTCTAGTTAGCGACGCTATTTTATTTTTATTTCATAATTTCTCGTTAAAACGTCAAAGATTGTAATCTATTCATATTAAATAAAAGGCTTTTATAAAACACATTCATTATTCATTGCCATGTCCGATTCATCAATTGGAGTCTGAATTAAAAATATCAAAATATTGTCATTAAAAATTTTTGATGAATGTATTTATACGAGAAGAATTGGCTCGTTATAATATGTGGAAGTGACAAAGAAAAGCAGAAATATATACAACGCAGATTAATTTTTTTTAATACAATTTTATTCTATAGTTCCTTGTTAATTCTCTACATTAGAAAGGAAGTAAGAAATATTGTAGTCATTATACTTAAGATACAAGACAATAGAAATAAAGAGAGTGGTTCAGTCTATGTGAAATGAGAATCCAAGGGTTATTTGTTTTCAGAGAGAAATAAATATATTTTACAATATGCCCATGGTTTTGTATTGTGTGAAAAATATTACAGTTGTTTAATACAACGCTTCTATTACGAAATACATGGCTCAGTAATTTCTATTTTGTATTTTCCTTTTTTATAAATCACTAGCTTTCCGCCCGCAGCTTCGCCCGCGTGGAGTTCGGTTATATCGCATTTCCAAGAGAACCTTTCAAAAGTCTGAGATAAAAACTATCCTATGTTCTTTCTCAAGATCAACTCTATCTCTGTACGAAATTTCATTAAAATCAGTTCAGTGGTTTAGGCGTAAAAGCGTAACAAACAGAGTTACTTTCGCATTTATAATATTAGTAGGGATTTTGCTCGAAAAAATATAGTGACCTTTATCAATGTTTCTGGATTTTAATCTGTGTGAATTCAGGTTTGAATGAGGGTTTAATAATGTATCGAGCGTACTCGACACACGAGCTCATGGGACTCGTTTTATTAATAACACTTTGAGAATAGAAACTGTGATGAGTTTTTTTCTGTTTGTTCAACAACTTTATTATTACGCGTAACAAATAACATTAACTGACAACAGATTTAGGTCACATGAAAAATATTCAAGATGGAAAAGTTCTATGCAAACTAAAACTAACTACGTATTTTCTTTTCTCATTCAATATATGTGTATGTTTATAAACACTGTTAATATGTATGTAGTACTAGCTTTTGCCCGCGACTTCGTTCGTGTGGACTTCAGGTTCGTCCCGTCTAGTAAGCTATATTTTGGTAAAGTTTCATTCGAATCCATTCAGTAGTTTTTACGTGAAAGAGTAACAAACATCCATACTTACAAACTTTCGCCTTTATAATAGTAGTAGGTTTAAGATGCCTTTGCTAATCTGTCTTCATCAGTCTATCAGAGCCCACTGCTGAGCAGAGCCTCTTCTCACATGGAGAAGGTTTGAGCATTAATCACCACGCTTGCTCAAGACGGGTTGATGATTTCAAACTTATAGTTGTGAAATTATAAGTCCAGGTTTCCTCACGATGTTTTCCTTCACCGTTTGTCAGTGGTGTCTAAATACTCTTAAAAAGTACATATGGTAAAAGACTCGGAAAAATCACATTTTTACTTGCCTGGATCGAACCCGTGCCCTATTGCACGAGAGGCGGGATCTTTAACCACTAGGCCTTTGACTAAGCTTTTACGTACAAATATTTTCAAGTCACTTTTCAATGGAATTAATCTTAGGTTTGCCAATAATTTTGTACAAAGATAACTTAAAAAAGCTATATTAATGTAATATGTTTATATATATCTTGTATTTTTGTAACAATTATGTGTTTTATGTCATTGAAACGTTCCTCCCTTTCCGTTAGAAGTAGCGTCTAGTGATTTCCAACATGGAGGCCGGATGCGAGGCCATGATTGTCTCGGTATGTTGAGGGTGGGACGGGAATTTAATTGGCCGTGTGCATGTGTGAATATGATTTCCGTTTCCGAATGATAAGGATTAATTTCCTAGTCTCCGAGCATATGTTACACTTTACTTCATTTAGTTCTATATTGTAAAATATTAATTCAAATGTTGAGACTTGAGAGACAGCTAATAGAATGTAACTTACTTTTTATTTTTTCTTAGTTTTTTTTTTAATTTGTACTATAATGCAATTTATATGATGGAGTTTATCATAAAATTAATTTAAATTTTTATATCGTGGTTTCCTATATCTCGTTCCAATTTGAAGTACTAATCGTTTTTTTACGTATATATTTAAATGA